GCGGGGGGAGAGAGAAGGGCGCAGTCGCTCCGACTGCCCGTCTGCGCATGGACAGAGACAAAAGGGCGCCGGTGCATGGGGAGTGCCCCGAGAGAACGAGAAAAAAAGGATGAGCTTGGGACGTCCGCTCGAGCACCAGCAGCAGAAGCCGAGAGCCCCGGCGCGCGGGCAAGGATGCGGAGAGAAAAATCCGCACGAGGGAGAGGAGGGTGCGCCGCCGCATCTCGTCTGCGTGTCGTCTGCGTCTGCGCCCGCGTCTGTCTGCCCTCCCGTCGAGGCGTACGCGTCCATGCTCCCGTCGAGGCCTCCTCCCCGCGTCTATCCCGGGCCACAGGCGACGGAGAGAAGAAGAGACGGAGAGCAGGAGAGGAGGAAAATAAAGCGCCGCCAGTTGTCGGTTATTGCGGCGCGCCACATACACGTCGATTCGCGTCGAGCGGCACATCACGGCTCCGCACTGCGCGGCACATCCCAGCATTCGCACCGTGGCGAAGGGACAGCCCGGATGCCGCGAGGAAGGCGCGGCTATCACGCGCGCCCCCGCAACCTCGTGGCAATCTCGCGCGACGAAAAGAAAACGAAAAAACAAAAAGGAAAACACAACAAAAAGCACAAATATCGCCGACGCGACGCCTGGGAAATCTGCGGGGAAGGCGACACGCTAAAACGTAGAAAGCGACGCCAAAACGAAAAGAGCGCCGCGGCGACGAAAAAAATGGACACCCGCGGCATCCTCGCTGTCTCAAGAAAACGCACGCAAGGCTCGCCCTGAAGGCGGGGCGCCAGTCCGTAGGAAAGAGGAAGAAGGGAATAATGGAAGAATGAACCGCGAGGGAACAAGAAGGGAAGAAAACCGAGCCAAAAAAGACGGCGAAACAGACGCGCACGTACATGTACCGCTCCACCATCCCCGCCCCGCTCCGATCGTTCACCCTTGCCTTCTCCCCTTCGAACTTCGCCTCCGCCACCTGCAGCCTGCTCTCGAGCGCGAAGACGTGCTTCTTGCAGGCGGTGGTGAAGGCGGTGAAGGACGCGGAGAGGGCGGAGAGCTGGGCGTGCGAGGCGGCGAGGTGTGTCGCGGGGCCGTCTTCTGAGTCTCCTTTACGGTTGCCGTTCGTGCCGCTGGTGAGAATGGAAGGCGACCTCACCAGCTCTGCATATGCCCCAACTACCCTCTCGCTCATCTCCCCCTTTTCCCTTTCCTCCCTCACCGCCCGCTCCAACTCCCGTATCCGTAGCACCCCCTCCTCCTCTCGCCCCCGCGCGCGCGGCGAGCGCGTACGCCTCGTGCGCTGATCGGCCTTTCTCCGCTGCGAGGGTGTTCGCCTGGACGAGGGACAAAGTGCGTTCGGAGAGAGCGGATTCGGTGAGGTGAGTTTCGAGGAGAGGCGCCGGAGGGAGAGGGTTAGCTCTGCTACGTATTGGGACTCTCAGTGCCCCCATCCTTGCGCCGAGGACGAGGGGAGAGGCGCAGAGCGGAGAACGTTCAGCTCGGTGCGCAGGCACGCGCTCTCCGCCTCGAGATGCGTGATCCGTTCCGAGAGCGACGTGTCGAGCGCGTGGTGTTGCAGCGTTAGGGCAGAGGCGTGTGCTTCGTTCTACATCCCATTTTAATCGTTAGAGTACTATTTTCTGTCTTTGAAGTATGAAGAAAGATGCTTGGATGCAAGAACGCACCTGGAACCGCGACACCGCCGCGGACAGACTCGCGAGCTCCTCCATGAGCGGGTGCGCCGCCCTCAGCCGCAGGCCGCCCGCGTTCTGCATCTTCCTTTCTTTCGTGCCGGTCAAGGCGTTCCTTCGGGCGGTCAAAGCGAGTTGTACGTGAAGATCAAGCGAGTTCTAGTGAGTTATGCAGGGATCGTCAGAAGAGCGCAGGAGGAGGCATCAAGTTGGCCTTATTTGGCTAGCCGCTCGCCGGCATTCGGCGGGGGGCTGCCGTTTCCGGCTTAGGTCGCTGGGGAGGAGGTAAGGTTGCCTGTGCAGCATTTGAAATGTTGGAAGGAGGATAGGGTAGTGGTGGGCAAGTTCGGTTCGACTAATCGGTTCGAACTCGAACCGAACTGAACTGAACGCGAAGTTCAGGTTCAAGGTTCAACAAATCCCTGAACCTGAACCTGAAGTTCGGTTCAGGGTTCAGAGGAGAGCAGACTTTGCTGAACGCGTTCGAACGCGTTCGAACGCCGAACCTGATGCCGAAAACCGGCCGAAATTTGCACCAGTTTGGGCGGAAACCAAGGTCAAATAACGCGTCTTTTTTGCGCGTACCGACCACTTGGCGACTACGTCACCACGACGCGCATAAGTCCTTGCAACTAGTCGGCTATCGGCATAACCAAGAGCTCCCATAGGCTGTTATTTCACATTCTACTGGTTTGCTGCCCTGTAAGCATGATTTTTGCTTTCGCTAGGGATAACTTGCTCTGCCTCGCTCGGGGCTCTGTGTTTCAGCGATTGTTCCAGTGATCACCAAGGCCATAGAGAACAATAAAGACAATAAATCGCTCGCGGCCCGCATCTCCTTGGCACTGAAACTTTTCGGACAGTCTTCACCCGCATCAAAAAAATACAACAACCCGAAGAGCGGGAACATCGAGGATGGCTCATTGCGTAAAATTTGCATGTACGTCAGGATCTTTTCGGCACTTGCCATAACATTTATTTTCTGCCAGTGACAACGGAGGCGAGCAGACATTCTTCAAGGGGAGTGTTACGACTCTGCGCAAGCACATTGCTCGGTATGCTTCCGAGTCCCAATCTCTGTCCGTCTTTCACTGAATGTACGGTGCGTCACAGTCAAAAGGGCCATTACGAGATTTACAAAGCTCGCTGCGAGAAGTTGGGCATTGAAATCAATAACAGTGCCATTCTACAGTCCTCCAGCTCGGGCGGGTGCGTACTTACAGTTTTCTTTTGTTGTTATCCGCTAACTTCTTTTCATCTTTTACAGCGTTCCAAGCACTTTGGACGGCCAGGTGGTCTCTACACGTATAATTTACCATGCACCAGTTCGACAAATACCATGCCTCCACGGCTGCTGCTGCTACCAAGGCTGCACCCCAAATCAATAGTGTTCAGACCGCGGCTTCTGAAGCTACCCCGATCCGGCGCTACGGTAGTTCATATTAATGGATGCTGTTAATTCGCTTCAGCAGGACGATTGGGCTCGAGCAGACCCGAGGGAGGAATTGAAAGGATACCTTGCGGCACCTGTGGAGCAGACGGACAACGTGTTGCATTGGTGGGGTGTGCGTGATTTCTTCATTTTAATTGATTCCACGCCACTGAACCGCCTCGATAGCATTGTGCCATCCACCCGACGCCTCGGAACATGGCCCGCGACTATTTGGCCATTCAGAGATCCTCCACATCTGCCGAACGCGCTTTCTCCAGCGGTAGTCTCACGGGTACCAAATTGCGCAACAAATTGACGCCCGAGATCTTCGAAGCATTGCAACTGCTCAAAGGTGCGTACCGAAATGGGCATCTCAGCGCGTCCAATGATGTGGCCAAACACATGGATGCACTCATTGCAGAGCTGGACGAGCACCATTACGGGTTTCCGGAGCTCGATCTTGAGATGCAGGATTTAGATGATGAGGAATACATAATGCAGTTAGTTCTTTTTACATGGCTTCGCCCTGAATGCCACAAACACTTTCTGTATTACGGCGCTGTTGGAATTTTTTCCTCGAGAAAAATAGGTTCGGTTCAGCGTTCGAACGCCTCCGAACGCCGAACCGAACCGCCCGAACCTGAACGTGGAGTTCAGGTTCGTGGAGTTCAGGTTCGGGGTTCAGCAAATTGCTGAACCTGAACCGAAGTTCGAGTTCGGCGTTCGGGAAAATATACCCCGAACCTGAACCGAACCGAACTTGCCCAACACTAGGATGGGGACTTCGACATATCCATGGATTTCGATTCCCTTTGTGAGCTGGGAGAAAAATTCCCGCTATCTTTAGTAGCGGGTTTTTGTGGTGTTTATGAAAAGCAGTTTTGAAAAAAAAAATTGGCGCAGTTTCATACACCTCTTTTTGGAAGTCTTGGCTTTGTCTCTATTTGCTGTTTGGACCGTTTTAGGAAGGTCTCTTGTTTGCATTTGATGGTAAATATTGGCATTTCTGCCCTTTCCGGTCATCTCATTTGCAATCTTTCCATTCTCATGCTCCACGTGCCACGCTTGCCGCACTCCTGTGTGTCTCTCCTCATCCCTTGATGCACTCCTCACTGTCTATATATTCTTTCAATGCCTGACTAGACGACCGAGCGCCACAATTTGTGGCCCACAAACTTCCTTTGAACTCCCTACATGTGCGGCATGTTGGTGGCATGTTGAAATAATCTGAGATTGGTTTAACTCAGGACCAGAGGAAGTAAGACCAAAGGATTGATTGAGCTCTACAAACACGTAAGGATACAAGCGCTCGTGCGCTACTTCAAGTATCCGGTGTGAGTAGGTTATGATCCAGAACACTCCACCTCAAATTTATGTCCCTAAATCAATTCGCAACATTCCGGAGGTGACTTTGGCAGTCTCAATTCTCACTGCATCACAAGTAACAGCATTCGACAAAATGAATACTCTCCATTGTTGACAAGTCCGAAAGTCCGCAGATCCTCCCGCCGTCGAATGACTGTTGTCATCAAATTTAATCTTCCGATGAGTCTCCGTCGATGTAGATAAATATGTTGCCGACGACTCCATAGACATAATTCAGCGCCGGGTTCGGGGGCTGCCTCCCCATTGTCGGTCGCTTCGTGTCTCGACCTGTATCCAAGAGTGGAATATGTAACAACACCATGGTCAGGTATGTATCTTAGTGTGATAAGTAGGTGTGCAGCGCTCAGGACTTCAAGTCGGAATTTAGTTGGAATTTACTTTGCATTCTGATTTTGGGGGTCCATCGTAAGGGCAGAAAGGACAACTGATGGCAAAAGGATGGATAGCGGGCCCTGCCGCGCAGCGGGCTACCCTGATTATATATTTTTTGCCCACGATATGACCCAGGCCCGAATCGAACGGGCGCCTTCTGCTGAGAATCGGTTCCATGTTAACGAAAGCAGACGCGGACTGTTCGCCACCGGGTCGTTATTAGCCTTCAACTCGCCTGAATAGGTGAGAGAGTCACTTCGAACGGGATCGAACATTCAAGGCAAAAAAAGGAAAGCAACACCAACCCCTTCCGTGACCCACTTCCTAGGCCCAAGTCGTATGAGGCAATGTTGACAATTTAAAATCATCCCGGAATTTAACGACTTGGAACCGAATCCCACAATATGATCTCGTTGGTAAAAACGCGAAGCACAACCGGACATGACCCGGACCCGAATCGAACGGGTGGCTTCTGCGTGGCAGAGCTTCTTCACTAAGGAGAACAGATGGGGACCGTCCGCCACCGGGTCTTTATTCACCTTCAATTGACCCTGGATAATTGAGGGAGGAAATTCGAAATTTGCGCGCGACGTAGAAAAAAAGCAGGTGTGTTTCCAAGAGAAGGGACCCAGGCCCGAGTCGAACGGGCGGTTTCTACTGTTTACCCATTACTGGAAGGAGTCAACGAGGACAGACGCGGACCGTCCGCCACTGGGTCGGTATTAGCCTTCAATTAGCCTGAATATATGAGGGAGGAAATTCGAACAGGATCGAACATTCAAGACAAGAAAGAAACCAGCATTTCTATGACCCAGGCCTACGTCGCATCGTGGTACGGTTGAACATGAGCGCTTAGTTCAACGCCTTGCACCGAATGACACACAGGGATCTAGTTGGGTGTAGGAAAAAAACGGAGGAACCAGTTATGACCCAGGCCCGAGTCGAACGGGCTGTTTCTGCTGTTCAGTCTGCTTTCTTGAAGTACATGAAAGCAGATGCGAACCATCCGCCACCGGGTCCGTATCTTCCCCACGAAGAGCCTGGATAGATCAGGAGGTAAATTCAACGAACGAAAAACTCAACTGAATACCCGGGAGAAAAATCCTTCCGCCCAAGACAGCGGCCCGGGCCCGAGTCGAACGGGAAGCTTCTGCTGTCAGTTATTTGAGCCAATGTCGGTGAATACAGAAGCGGACCATCCGCTACCGTCTCTGTATCTGCCTCTCTTTCTGCCTCTCTTCATCTTAAATAAACTGGTATCCAAGTCGGAAGTTCGAACGGGATCGAAAATTCTGAATCCAAGCCAAAAATAAATCAGCACAAACCCTTACATGGCTCGGCCCAGTCGTATGAGGCACTACCGGTTCCTTAGTCACCTTAATTGACCCTGAATAAATCAGGAGAGACATCCAACCCAAACGGGTACCTTCTGCTCTGCTCGTTATATCTGCGACCCCGTTAATGGAACCCTGACCATCCACCACTGTGCTGCAGAGCCAAGTGATGCCCTGCATAAACCAACCATGCACGTCAGAAATGAAACCCAAGAGCATTGAACTTGAACTAGCCGCAGAAGATAAAGATGTGATGCTATGCACATTCTGTATTCAGCCCAGGAAGAGTTGAAGCAAAGGCGGTTGAACAGGTGTTCTTGCGCAGGGACGCATCTGACCCTTCCGTGTGACTTTGACTTCGCCGCAGGTCCTCGCAGTAGTGGTGCAGCGAGGTAGTAAGCTGCGGTCACATATTCATCGATGATTTACCGCAGATAAAGTCTCGTGTTTTCAATGTACTGTAGAAACCTTTCCCCCACACGGAAATTTAGGGGCCAGCGACTCTAGTTGCAGCTCGCTTCGCATCCTGGTTGTGGTGCTAGCCTTCTTGAATGTCTTGGCTTCTCGAATATTTTCTCCTGTTCTGTGAGTCCTTCGGCCGGTGCTCTCTCTGCTTTGTGGTCGCTTCATTAGGGCGACGCCGCAGTCTCACGTATGTATACTATTTCCATCATATTGTGGATTTCCTATATGTCGTCTCGGACTGCAACATTTACTATGTTCTTTGTTCATTTACGATATTTATACTCCCACCCGACGTGCAAGATCAAACTTCCGGTGGGGTCTGAGTCACTTTAAGCACTCTGCCACCAGTGAGAGATTACGATCCGGTACCCAGATCTCAGACACATGCCGGAGCGAAGCGATGACGCATCTTGTTATAGTTCATAATTGAACTTTTGCAACTGTCACGTGCCAGCCCGGCACTGCGGGAAAATGTAGCTCCAGGATCGAGATCGCCGGATCCGCTGTTTATATGTGTTTCCAATAGCTCATGTCCGCCCACCTGCGCACGCTCCCCCGATATGCCGAGCGTCGTCTGTGCTCCCCCCGCATTCTCGAATTCAAAATCGCAAGAGGCCCCCTCGACAGGCACGGCCTCGACACAGGAAAGCCGGGAGCGCAGCGATTCCGTTCGCTCCATCAGACGGTGGTCATATTCAAAATCGACTGAATGAGTTCACTCATCCCCCTCAGGCCCGTGCACAGTACCCAGACGAGTTGGGGGGGCCCTACTGGAACGAGCCAGGCTATGGCACCTGGCGCGAGGCGATCTACAAGGATTGGTACACGAGCCCACTCGTGAAGTTCCCTTGGTCGTGCGACTGGGACCTGTGGTGCGGCCTCCGTTGGTTCACCGACGGCCGCGTACAGACCAACTACAACACCGCGTTCAAGCTCCCGGGGACGATCGAGCCCCTGGCGTTCATGGAGGCGGGGAGCGGGACGGCATGGATCTTCACTGCGGGCGGGCGGTACTATTTCTACGACGACGAGACGGATGTCGTGCTGAGATTTGAGCGCGAATTCGCGTCGCACGACGAGTTTGTCGAGTGGCAAGATCGGGAGTGGACCGGGGAGCACTGCGAGTGGACGACCGAGCTCCCGAGACGCGCGCCGCACGTGTTCGAGCCTCGCCCGCTCTTGCACTCGCTGTGGCGGCGTCGGTCGTAAGGGTGCATCAGATCGTTGCTGTAGATGTGTACACTCCATATGAAATCCACATCCATTATCCGTTCTCGTAACGTTCACAAGATATGCCTGCGTTTCGCTTCGGCACAGGATAATTTTTTTTTTTTTTCAATTGTATACGTAGTGGTGAAGGAATCGACATCAGGATACGAAAGAGGTAGATCACGAAAATGTTCGGCCACACTGGAAGGTATGCCACAGAGAGTGTTACATTACCCTTACCGATGTCCCATGGTGCGGATAGTTTGCGGAGAGTGGAGCCCCGACGATCAGAGGAACAGCGATCGAGAAATCAGATAGCGTAGCAGAGCAGCACCGGAGAGGGAGCGGGTGAATGGGTTTGTAAGCGGAGGCAATACACATGTAGACTCCTAGAGCGGGGTTGAGGATAGGAAGAACTTCGAAGACAGGGGAGCAGATGAAGCCGAATGTAAAGAGTAGAAAGCCGGGAGGATCCTGAGGGCAGAGAACAGAATTGAGAGGCTTTATACCCGGCAAGCGCGCGTGTGGCTCATGGTGAAGGCATGGCCGCGCGCGCCGCATGGAGGAAAGAGGAAGAAGGGAAGGCAGGGATGAATGCAGGCGTGGAAGGATGGAGAGAAAAGGAAGAGACGAGCCCCCCAAAGAAAAGCAGGACACTCACATGTAACTCTCCACCATCCCGCCGCACTTTTATCCTCCACCCGTGCCTTCTCCCCTCAAACTTCGCCTCCGCCAGTGCCTCGCCGAGCTCCGCGTTTAACGCCCGCGCAGCGGTGAGCTTCGCCTCTGCGATGCCGAGCTCGGATTCCAATGCGAAGACGCGCTTCTCGAGGGCGGTGGAGGAGGCAGTGAAGGAGAGGGAGAGGGCGGAGAGCTGGGATCGGGAGGACGCCAGGGCGGAGGCGGGGATGTCTGTTGTCTGCGCTGCCGTTGGACGCCCTGATCTGAGTGAAGGAAGAAGAAGACGCAGGCGCACCAGGAGCCCTCCTCCTCTCCAACTCCCTTACCTATTCCGCATACGCCCCCACCGCCCTCGCTCGCTCATCTCACCCTTCACCCTTTTCTCCCTCACCGCCCGCTCCGGATCGATCCGGAGGACCCCCTCGCGCCCCCTTGTGCGCACGGCGAGCGCATAGGCCTCGTGCGCCGCGCGGCTTTTCTCCTCCGCGAGGGTGTTCGGCTGGGTGAGGGCGAGGGTGTGTTCCGCCAGCGCGGACTCGGTGAGGAGGAGTTTTGCGGAGACGCGGCGGAGGGAGAGGGTTAGGGAGGTCACCGTTTCGTCTAGAGCTGCACCTGCGCCGTCGGAGGAGGACGAGGTGGAGGGGAGAGGCGCAGAGCGAAGAACGCCCAGCTCCGCACGCAGGCGCGCGTTCTCTGCCTTGACTCGGACGGTGCGCCGCGCTGAGGCGGCTGAGCTGCAGGCCGCCCCTTGGGAAAAAACCCAAATCGGTTGGAACGGATTGGGTCGGCTTGTCGGCTTGGGTGGGATTGCAACCGGTCCCAAGCCACTGGCGGGGTGGCTTGGAACCAGTCCCGAGACGTTCCAAGTGTCTCAAGCCGTTGCCAGGCTTCAGATGGATTTGCAGGCATGTGAGTCCCATTCGCAAGCCCACTAAAATTTGTTCTTTCCAGAAGAGCCAACTAGCAGCTACATCAGGAAAGGCTGAAGAAACATCCTAGGTACAGTATTTAACCGTGAAGTGGAACAGCACGTGGAAATGAAACGCTGTGCCGTTTGCCACCTTGCAGGTTGCCTGCGACCCCAAAATTTTGGGACATTACTCTCCTCTGTATGAGACTCCCATACACCGAAGGATTTGTGAGAAAAGCTTGTATAGCTCCTGTTCTATCCCAATGTCTTTTTTTCAAGTTTTTTGCTATTATTTTCCAGATTTGAACCCGCGGGATAAATACATAGCCCGACTGCCATTTTGAGTTGGTTGAGGGTATACTAGTAGTTTTCGAGGTCGAATATTACGAATATACACCTCCCCAACCTCACATTTGCAAGTATGAGCTTGATTACTCGGTTTCCTGATGTTCCATTTCCACGTGATTTGGCAAATTTGATCGCTGAGAAAGATTGCCTTCTTTCTCCATGAGAACAGCACATAACCACATAGTTCTTTGTATGTTCAGGTAGCTGGGACGACACTGAACAAGCGTACATCAAAGTATGATGTCATTGGAGCACTATTAAGTCCACAATTGGCCGCACGGCCTGAGCGTTTCACTTCACGGTTAAATACTGTAGCTGTAACTACAAGCATAAGTAGCAAAGATAAAAAGAAATATACACACACGTTCAAGGGAACGCACTGTGTTATGTGTACATAGGGAGGGCTCGGGAGATGCCGACAAGTTGATGCCGACGCACTTCGGTTTGATGAATCCAACACTTAGCCCAACTGGGAAGGTAGCTTCAATAGCCTCTCGTTCAAACTACAATATTAATGCAGCGGCCTCCGCATGGGGATGGGCTGAAAATTCCGAAGTGACTGAGGCAGTGAAGTCTATTTCAAACTCCGCAACCACGTGCGAGATCGTGGACCAAACAGTACATTGGTTGATCGTGTTTCCCCCACCTCCGCGTTGTACCCGCCGCTGACCGTGTCCTCCGCCTTCAATCCGACATCGCAAAAAACACTTCTTGCTGCCTTCAGTCGGAGGCGCCCGTCAACGGATCCCCAAGCCCAAGACCCCCTCTTCGGCTAAGGCTCCAACCATTTCGCTTCCGTTTGTGAAAGTCCACAAACCAAAAGGAAACGGTGAAAATATATTTAAAAATTGTTTAAACTGTTTATAAATGGTATGGTCAGGTAACATTCTTGCACCTCTGTGAATGGATTCACTGTAGTGCTTGGGGCCACTTGATGGCTTTCAGAGTCTCATATCTATCTCCAACATCAATTTTGGGGGTTATTTAGGGCCTGAACATACGAGTTTAGTTTCACCGAGATGCCCGGAGCGGTTAGGTCTGGAGATATCTCGATAATCGAGTATCCACGGCA